CCCATCCAGTCTGTGACTGGACAGTGAAGGAAAAGCAGCAGGCTAATGAGCTCATCTCTATATCACTCAACTCTATCCTCCTATCAGCATATTCTTTGTGAGTAAGTAAGCACTGCAGAGCAGTTGATTGGCACCTTGTGCTGCTTCTTCCCCTCCCATTTTGAGCTCTGCTATAAACAGTGCTTTAAGAGGCTGATACCAAGCCAACTAAAGGTACTTCCACTGCTTGTATTTAAGAAATAAATGTTATATATAATATCGAACACAGAGCAGCATTTATTTGTGTCTTTTATATCTGCCTGGATTTCAGCTTTAGCTGCATTTGTTTCTGCCAATGTCTATGTTTTTGTATATGTCATTTTGTTGCATTCATCCAATTGAATTGCAGGATAAGTTACAAGGTAATGAGGAATGTTTTAAGAACACGGACGTCTTCTCTCTGCTTCTCTCTGTGACCTTCACCAAACTGCTCTTTTTCTGTCTTCTTGCTGTTCTGAACACATCCAGGTCTCTTGTTTATGACTACAGTGTCCAGCACTGATCCCGATCAGTTTCTGTACAAATCTGAACCCCCGCGATTCCGGGGCGACAACATCTTAGATGTCACAACCAATAGCTACTTAGGTTTGTGCATGGAGTCAGAACACTTCGGTGAAACCATTTACGTAACATCGTCGTTCATGACCTTGCCCATTACTGCTACTGATATCACCAAGTCAAAGGGCAACCTTATGAAAGATTCACCGACATGATGCATCACATTCACACAGATCATTGCTCTTCATATGCACAATTGGTTTATTTATTACAGGTATTTATAGAGTGCCGTCAGTCCATGCAATGCTTTACATACTGTCCATTCACATCAGTCCCGGCCATTAACCTTTTCACTGCCAGCGGCATAAGGCATATGGTCCTGTTAACATGACTCCAAGCGGCAAATGCAATTTTTAAGCTTGGCATGTTGGGTATCTATGTACTCGGCACAGCCCCATATTTTATACCGTTCAAAAAAATATTATATTGTGGTTTTGTGCATTGTGTTTTGGATTTGATAAAGAATTATGCTAATATCATGCAACATAAAAGTTTGCAACTGCCGCCATTCTATTCTACAGGGTCTCTGTTTTCAGGAAATATATAATTCTGAGGGGGAGTTTAAGTAATTCTCAGGCCTTAAATGTGGATTATAGCATGTGTGCAAAAAAAATATATAGCAAAAACGGCTCTGGAAGTGAAAGGGTTAAAAGAGCTTTCCGCCTAAGGTCCACATCTCATATGAATACATACTAGAGCCATTTAACTTACCAGCAGGTCTTTGGAGAGTGAGAATAAAATTGGAGTAACAGGCAGAACATGCAAACTCCATGCAGATAGTGTCCTGGCCAAACATGGATTCGAACTGGGGACCTCAGCGCTAACCACTGAGCTACCGTGCTGTCCAAAATATTCCAGAATCCTAAAACAACCCTTAATAACATAGAGTTTTAGAATATTGTTGGGAAAATAGCATGAGGGGAATTTATGAAGAATGGAGCAGAGGGAATCTGGAGCAGATGTGAGTGGCAGCCAAATGCATAAGGCCGAGTTCACACCTAGGCGGCATTGTTTTTGTGTGCGGTTATTTATAAGTTTATGCGCGTTTTGCACATTGTGACACGCGTTTGTACACTCGTACATGTAGCACGTTTTAAACATGCGTGCAACTGCGCAAAAATGCACATGAAAATGTGCAACATGCTCCTGCCACGCGTTTTCGGGAGTTTCCATTGAAATCTATGAGACAAAAACATGCTGTTAACCAGGCCAAAGAAGCTCATGTACCTTTTGGGGCGTTATGCTGCTCAGGTGTGAACAGGAGCCACTGAAAATCCTGGGATTTCTTGTGTTGGACATTTTAAAAGCACTTTTCCAACTGTTAAAAACCACCTAGGTGTGAACCCGGCCTACAGGTATTGTGTTAATGACTTTTACTTACCTGATCTATGCTTCCCTGTCTGTCCCTGCTCACCACTCTCCCCTCTGCTCTGGCTCATGGACTTTCCTTCAGTGTCCTCACATATAATGCTGGGCTATGGGCTCTGATTTTAATTGGAGATAGGCTTTAAACTCTGGGCAAACAATCAACTTACTGTTGCAGTGGGGCTACCCCTGCGCTGCAAAGCTTAAGTGTTCATTTTGGTCTAGACTCTAGGGGCTGGAATGAAGAATTAGTTACCTGATCCTGGCTCCCTGTGAGCTGTGAGACCGGTCCCCGCAGCCTTAGGCCCCATTCACACTGCGCGATTCGCAAATTGCGCGTTTGTCGCACGATTTGCATTATGCGCGATATCACGCGTTTTGTCGCGCGATATCGCGCAAATGCTTGCATTGAGCAAGCTCGAGTCGCGGCAAAATCCGCTCCAAAAAGGGTCCTGCTGTAGCGACGCACGACCTGCTATAGCAGGACCCTTTACCTCATTGCCAAGCATTGGAGAGCGATATCGCGCGGTAAACAGCCGCGATATCGCGGGAATTACCGTGCGATAAATCGCTAAGTGTGAACGGGGCCTAATGTGAGTCCCCTAGACAAGACAAGCATTTAAAGAAGAACTCCAGGGAAAGTTATTATTATTGTTATTATACAGGATTTATATAGCGCCAACTGTTTGCGCAGCGCTTTGCAATATAGGGAAAACATTATAATTACAATACAATTCAAGACAAGCCCTGCTCGTGAGGGCTTACAATCTAAAAAGAGACGGCTTGCTCTTAGACCGGTCCCTGGAGCCTTTCTTCTCCTCCCCTGCAGTGGTCTAAGGTCCCGTAAATCACCACATCTATACAATGTGTATTGAACATCCTAATAGGTTGGACTTGATGGACTAATGTCTTTATTCAACCTCAAATACTATGTAACTATGTAACATGAGGACACCGAGGGACATACCATTGCTACAGTGGAGGAAGAGGCAGGCTGGTAAATCCTTGTTATTTTCCTCCCTAGACCAAACGAGCAGTAAACTCTTGCAGTGCAGGGGTAGCCCCACTCCAAGGGTAAGTTTGTTTTTGCCCAGAGTTTTGTCTTTAAAAAGAAACTTGTGTAAGATATAGACTGCAATATATCACAGTCGCACCCAAGGACAAGTGAGATGGTAGAATCATGTTCCATTTCATCATATCACGTTCCCTTTTCCTTTTATTTGATTGTGATTTGGTTATTGGTCCACACAACATTACATAGTTAGTATCTTCATAGCTATTACTCTTATCATTATATTGTGTCTTACTGTTGTATGATTCTTTCCAGGGTTTTCATTGGACAGCGGTAGAGGAATAACCTCTAAAGAAGAAATGACCTTTGTAGCAGGGGCTCCAAGAGCCAATCACAGTGGAGCCGTTGTGCTCCTGAAGAAATATCCTCCCAATGAAAGGATGTTGTCTCCAGAGTTTATATTCCATGGGGAAGGTTTGGCCTCATCCTTCGGTTACGATGTAACAGTGGTGGATCTAAACAGCGACAGGTGAGATTGCTGGGCGGCTGTTGGTAGGATTTTAAATATATCTCATGAAAAGATTCGCTTGGCCATATTGGTTTCTATCACAGGCTAGCCAAGGTTAATCACACTAGCCAAGGTTCATCAAGCTCACAGCTCTGTTAGCTTAGATCTTGCCCTGATTCATGATGCAGATATTTTATTATTCATGCACACTCGTCTAAATTAGATTCTCCAATTGTGTTTATAATCCAAAAAAAGGGAATTTCTTTCCTGAATGGTTTTTTCCCCCAGTTCTTCAGCCCTGTACATTCCTAAAGGCTCCTATAGAGGGCTATAGAGAGCAGGAATCAGCCAAACTTCTAGCTGTGGGTGGCCCTGCAAGCACCTCCTAGCTCAAGGGTGGGCAACTCTGGCCCTCCAGCTGTGCTTTAACTACAAATCTCATCATGCTTCTGCATCTGGGAGTCATGCCTGTGGCTGTCAGTCTTGCAGTGCCTCATGGGATTTGTAGTTCCACAACAGCTGGAGGGCCGCTGTTGCCCACCCCTGTCCTAGCCCCACAAAAGTTGATTTAAAAATTGAGCTGCATGGAAAATGATCAGCTGAATAGCGACTACATCCTATAAGATGCAGTCTCTGTTCAGTACTGCCACTGAATTTAGACAGCCACGGGTAGAGCAGCTGCCTGAATAAAATAGCCACCAGTGGAGATTCGTCCATTCAATCAATTGATTTTCTCTTCTTCAGCTCACAGACTAAATGAGAGAAAACTGGGCTGTGTATAGCTATCTTTACTCCTTTCATTTAATTAAATAACGACTTACAAAGCCATCTACAATTCTGCCCCCGGATATATCTGAAACCTTGTCTCAAAGTATCACCCTAACCGTCCCCTCCGCTCTTCAAAAAACCTCCTGCTTTCCAGCTCCCTTGTCAACTTCTCCCATGCTCGCCTCCAAGACTTCTCTAGAGCTTCTCCCGTCCTCTGGAACTCTTTACCCCAACCTGTCCGTCTATCTCCCACTCTGACTGCCTTTAGGCGATCCCTTAAGACTCATCTCTTCAGGGAAGCCTATCCCACCTCAACCCAACCACTCAACCATCACGTTCTCAAACAATTCATCCCCACACAGCTACCTCCTAATGTATCACTTGCCCCTCCCTTTTAGAATGTAAGCTCTCAGGGGCGGGGCCCTCCTTACAATCTTGTCTTGAATTGTATTGTAATTTCTTCCGTATATTGTAAATCCCTGCTCAAACTGTTGGCGCTATATAAATCCTGTATAATAATAATTGTTTCATCTTTGTCTCCAAGGACTGCTTGGGTTCTTTCCAGGCCCCATACAGATATATTATACATCCCCATCCCATATCCACATACCCCCCTTTCCTCTTTCTTTTGCTTTCTTCCCTACAAAATATTCTGTTTATTTATCATCCACGGCTTCCCTTGTCTTTTCTGTCCCTTCAGACTGGTGTTCATTTGACTTCAGTGCTCCATTCAGTAGCTTTTTTTTTCTCTCTCCTGAACTACAATGTCCAGTTTATCTCTCATCAGCAGTTTGGTGCTTCCTTTTCCTACCAAGTTCCTGCTTAGTTTATGAAGACTAAAGATAACCGATTCCCATTCAACCTTTTACACTACAAATATACAGATAAAGGGACTTCAGCAGAGACGATGTACGGAGTATGATTACACAATACATGGAGGAAAGTCCCTTAGTACAAAGGGCATATTTCACACACACATAAACTTTGGATATTCTACGTTTTTTATTTAAAAATCTTGTTTTTAATTTTTGGCTATCATCGTAGTAGACTGTAGAATCTAGATGAAAAAAGATCTTCATCTTGATAAATTAACATCTTGTTCTTGGCATAAAAGGAATGAGATTTGTTATCTAGAATGCCTGAGATAAGGGCCCTTCATGAAGTGCTAAATGCATAAAATACACATAAGGGCTGTACAAATTTTACACCGCGTGTTACTCTCGAAAGCTTGTCTTTGATATATTTTGTTAGTCCAATAAGAAAGGTATCAATGCACACTGCAATACTGCGTTTTTGTTTTTTTTGACGTTATATATATATATATTGTATATAGGATTTGCTGTGCACTTTTGCACATTGAATGCTTGCTGAATGCTCAGCCAGACTAATCGCGCATAGTTTTTAAAGAGGATTCTCCCTATTAGCCCATTATTTTTTAATTTATTTTTTAATCAGATACTTTTTATTAAGTTTTTCTTTAAACAGACAATCTAAAGGAAAAATATATAACAAATAAATATGTGTTATATTTGTAGCCTGTTATTTTTTAAACAAGATTCCCCCTATTCACCCATTATTAATTAAAGAGGATTCACCCTATACGCCCATTATTTTTTAAAGAGGGTTCAAGCTATTAGCCCCTAAGTGTTTAAAGAGGATGCACCCTATGGTAATCACATAGAAAATAACTGCCAACTGACTCTGGGAAACCTTGCTTAGACTATAATAGCTGCTATTAGAGCATATCAAGCTGCACATTAAAATGAAATAACATTATTTGTAAGGATTTGTCACTTTGGCCAGTTATTCCGGTGATACACACCTCTGCTGGTCACTAAGATGATTATTATTATTATTATTCAGGATTTATATGGCGCCAGCATTTTGCACAGTGATTTACAATATAAAGAAAGACGTCACAGTTACAATACAATTCAAGACAAAAGGGTTAGGAAATCTATTTCTATTTGATGGTTAAAGAAGAGCTACAGGGAAACATTATTTTTAACCCTTGCAGTGTGGTTACCCCCACACAGAAAGGGTTAACTGCTCATTTTGGTATAGGGAGGAAAGTAAAAAATGTATACTCACCTGATCATCCAAGCCAGCTTGCTGTTAGCCCGGTCCCTGGAGCCTTTCTCCCCCTCCACTGCATTGGTCTAAGATCCCTGAGTCTTCACGTTCTATGCACAGCATATTGGATGTGAGGACGCCAAGGGACATACCATCACTGGAGTGTAGGAGCAGACAGGCTGGAGGGAGCGCTAAGACAGCCGGCCAGCTCGGAAGATCAGGTGAGTTTAACTTTATTATTTTCCTCCCTAGACAAAACGAGCACTTAACCCTGCAGTGTGAGGGTAGCCCCACTACAAAGGGTAATACAAATTTTGCCCGGAGTTCTTCTTTAAACATTATTGCTGGTCAGCTCTCTGCTCAGTGGACAGAAGTGTTGATGTGGATTCACTTTCCACTGCGAAGGTGGAGAAGTAAAAAAGGAAGCTGCATTGTGGAACCAGGAAGATGAATCAGATACTCCGTATGCCCCGTCTGGCTGTGCAGTGCAGCAAATGTGTGTAAATCACAAGACTGGCTGTTTGGAATTGCAAATCTTTTAGCAGTTCCACCACTTAACA